GTAGTGAGCTGTGATTGTACCACCCGACTCCCCCTGGGAGACAGAGCAAGACTCTGTCTCTAAAAAATAAAATTTTAAGACTGAGTGCAGGGACTCACACCTATAATCCCAGCACTTTGGGAGGCTGAGGTGGGCAGATCAACTGAGGTCAGAAGTTCAAGGGCAGCCTGGCCAACATGGCGAAACCCTTTCTCCACTAAAAATACAAAAACGAGCCGGGTGTGGTGGTGGGCGCCTGTAATCCCAGCTACTCAGGAGGCTGAGGCAGGAAAATCGCTTGAACCTGGGGGGTGGAGGTTGCAGTGAGCTGAGATCGCGCCGCTGCACTCCAGCCTGGGTGACAGAGCAAGAGTCCATCTCAAAAAAAAAAAATTAAAATTAAATATTAAACCTCAGAGAAAGCTAAAGAGAACTCCCCGAAGGCTACATGCCGCTCTGGCCTCCAGGCATCACCCTCCGGCCCCAGGGACTGTAGCCACCTGAGAGAGGCCAGGGTGCGGTCAGTGGTGCCAGGAGGGGCGGCCCCCAGCTCCAAGGTGTTTGCACACTCAGAGTGGGTGTGCCTGGCGGTGATGGAGGGAAAAGTGTAGGGGACACAGTAAGGGCAGCTGGAAGGAAGAGGCTGGGGGTGTGAGAAGCACAGAGGAGCTGGGTGGGCACCTCACCCTGTCTCCCTTCCCTCCCTGCCTCCATCCTCCCATGGAGGCCGCCGAGGGGTGGCGAACCGCCGTGGGCACCCGCTGCGCTCAGAGCCGTGGAGTGATGTTCTGGCATCACCTGGCGGCCAGAGTGGCATCTGCACCCAAGGCTGTCCCTGCCTCCCCTGCCCACAGTGGGACAGTGTCAGAACAGGGCAGTGGAAGTGGGGGGGACGCCCCACTGGCTGCTGTCACCGTGACTGTGGCTGTCGTGTCCCCAGTCTGTGATTGGGTCAGATCCTCAGGGCAGTCACCTTCCTCATCAGACCCCGTCCCCTCCCCAGCCTAATGGGAGGGGTGGCAGTTCCGGACTGAACAGGGACGCCCTCCTCTTCCTCCTAGGCCATGTCCGCAAGGTCCTGCTGTCACCGGGAGCGGTGTCAGTCCAGAACCTCCCCCAGGTCTATGGGGACTATTTGAGCACCCGCTCTGGCTGTGTGTGCCCTGTGGCCACGTCCCCCACCCCAGGACCTCCCTTGGCCTTCCCCAGGCCTGCCAGCCCTGAGCTTGGCCCTTTTTTTTTTTTTTTTTTTTTTTTTTGAGACAGAGTTTTGCTCTTGTCACCCAGGCTGGAGTGCAGTGGCACAGTCTCAGCTCACTGTAACCTCCACCTCCTGGGTTCAAGTGATTCTCCTGCCTCAGCCTCCCGAGCAGCTGGGATTCCAGGCACCCACCACCTTGGCCCTAGCTAATTTTTGTGTTTTTAGTAGAGTTCACCATGTTGGCCAGGCTGGTCTTGAACTCCTGATCGCAGGTGACCCACCTGCCCAGCCTCCTGAAGTTCTGGGAATACAGGTGTGAGCCACAGCACCCAGCTGAGCGTGGCATTTAAGACCTGTTTCTTAGGCTGGGCGCCATGGCTCATGCCTCTAATCCTATCACTTTGGGAGGCCAAGGTGAACGGATCACTGGAGGCCACTCAGGAGTTCCAGACCAGGCAAGCCAACACGGTGAAACCCTGACTCGACTAAAACATACCAACAATGAGCCGGCCGTGGTGGTGCAGGTCTGTGATCCCAGCTACTCAGGAGGCTGAGGCAGGAGAATCGCTTGAACCTAGAGGTGGAGGTTGCAGTGAGCCAAGACTGGGCCACTGCACTCCAGCCTGGGTGACAGAGTGAGACTCTGTGTCGAAGAAAAAAACAAAGAAAAGAGCCGTCTCTCCCCTCATCCCCTCTCCATCCTTCCCTGGCCCAGCAAGGGACCTCGCGGAGTGGGGGTGTCCTCCCAGCCACCCCTCCCAGGGGCCTCGCTAGCGGCCACCACCCACCTGCAGCATGCCGACGGTCTCTGTCATCTGTCCCGGTATCTCCCTCTCTCACTCGGCCCCGCCTCTCTCCCGCCCTTCTCTGTCTCCTTCAGACCCAGAGCGTCATGTACGACCTTGTGTCGGAGCTGCATGCCCAGCACGAGGAGCTGGAGGCTCGCCTGGCCACCCTGGAAAGCCGCCTGGACACCCTGGGCGCCTCTCTGCAGGCCCTGCCCGGCCTCATCGCCCAAGCCATACGCCCGCCCCCGCCACCCCTGCCTCCCCGGCCCGGCCCCGGCCCCCCAGACCAGGCGGCCCGGAGCTCCCCATGCCGGTGGCCGCCCGTGGCCACCTCGGACTGCGGGTGACGGCCCTGCCCGCCACCAGACCCCTAAATCTTGGCCATCGTGTGGCCGCCACCTCCGTGAAGCCCTGTACCGTGGCGCCTCTTGGAGTTCAAGAAGCCGGCGCTGAGTCGGGCTGAGTGGACTGGGGCCTGCCCCGCCCAGACTGCCCGGGCAGAGGGCAGGGCTGGACCACGGGTGAGGGCAGGGGGGCCCGGAGTTGCCTCTGGCTAGCTGGTCCCCTGACTCTCCCCAGGCCCCAGGTGGGCATAGAGCCGCCCAGGAGGGATCCGTGCTTGTTCTGAATAAAGCAGGACCCGCCCACCCGGTGGCTGCCTGTGTGGGTGGCTGGGAGGTACCAGTGATGTCCCAGGAGATAGACCCCCAACCCCGGGCACCAAGAGGAATGTGGGACTCAAAGAAGCCCGTTCCCATCACCGGCCTAGCCTAGAATCCCCCTCTCCCTCTGGGCTGGAGCTCAGTCAGGGACAACTCTCTAGGGACATCTGTGCCAGCCCCACCTGGTGCTGATAGTGCGATCCCTCAGAGGGTGTGGCCCAACCCTGGCCGGAAGCATCCCTCCCCTTTAACCAATCACGTTGATGAACGCCCACCGTGTGCCAGGTCCCAGCGGGGCCCGTGGGGGAGGTGACCTGGGTGAGGAAGGTCGTTTGGGTTTTTGTGAGATGTGTATTGAGCACCTGCCGTCTACAGAGAATGTGATGCTGTCAATTACCACACTGACTCCTCCTCAGAGCTTGACCCAGGTGGGATGGGGGGAAACTGAGGCCCAGCGAGGAGGGATGGTACTGGATTTAAACTGGAAATCTCCTAGGCCAAGGTAAAGAACTGGACTGGCCGGGCGCGGTGGCTCACGCCTCTGCAGCACTTTAGGAGGCCATGGCGGGCAGATCACAAGGTCAGGAGTTCAAGACCAGCCTGGCCAGCATGGTGAAACCCCATCTGTACTAAAAATACAAACTATTAGCCAGGCGTGGTGGCATGCGCCTGTAGTCCTAGCTACTTGGGAGGCTGAGGCAAGAGAATCGCTTGAACCTGACAGGCAGAGGTTGCAGTGAGCCCAGATCGTGCCACTGCACTCCAGCCTGAGTGACAGAGCGAGACTCAGTTTCAAGAAAAATTAAGCCAGGCGTGGCGGTATGCGCCTGTCATCCCAGCTACTCGGAGGCTGAGGCAGGAGGACCACTTGAACCCAGGAGGTAGAGGATGCATTGAGAAAAAAATGAAAGGAACCTGGACTGTGTGGAAGGGACTCCATGGAGGAGCAGGAGGAGAGGGTATTTGGTGACATCCAGGGGTCAGACAAACCCTTCCAGGTGGACTAGAGGGGAGGGTTCCAGACGCAGGTAGAATCCAGAAGGTCCCGCACAACCTGGGCTTGGGTGCTGGGGGCAGGGGACATTTACTGGGCAGCTGCTGAGCCCTGGGTGCGGTGGGGAGGCGAAGCAGTGCCCAGCCTCGGGGCCCCGGGTCCTGGCAGCCTCTGATAAGGCCATCAGTCGCCTGGCTCAACATGATAACTAGCCCGTGGCTGGTGCAAGTATCGGACCCAAGCATGAGAAGGGAGCGGGGAGGTGCTGGTCAGACCAGCGTTCGAGTCCTGACTCTGCCACTGCTGGGTGTCTCTGGGCAGTGGCTGGCCCTCTGGAGCCTCAGTTGTTTCATCTGTAAAAGGGGGGTGACAGTCTACTGAACCAGAACTCCATAAAAACAGCCAGACAACTAGTAGGTGCTCAATAAATGCTCCTTCCAGCCTGAGGGATCATATCGGAGTCTTTGGCAGGACTCATCCTTTTTACCCGGTTGTCTGGCTGGGGAAACCGAGGCATGAGAAGGAAGGGGGCTATCCTTCAGGGTGAGAGGCCAGGGTTCAGTGAAGGAACATTCCTGAGTGTACCTTCTGTGCTCAGTGGTCGCTCCAGGTCTGATGGCGGAGGCACAGTAAGCCCATAGCAGTGGGGGGTTGGGGGAGGGGGAAGTAACCAAAGCCATAAAGCCATAAAGCAATAAACAGACCGGGTGTGGTGGCTCACGCCCTAATCTCAGTACTTGGGGAGGCTGAGGCAGGAGGATCATTTGAGGTCAGGAGTTGGAGACCAGTCTGGCCAACATGGTGAAACTCTGGCTTTACTAAAAATACAAACATAAGCTGGGCGTGGTAGCACAGGCCTGTCGTCAGGAACTTGGGTGGCTGAGGCAGGAGAATTGCTTGAACCCAGGAGGCGGAGGTTGCAGTGAGCCGGGATCACGCCACTGCTCCCCAGCCTGGGCGACAGAGCCAGACTCTATTTAAAAAAAAAAGAGAGAGAGAGAGAAAGAAAGTCAACAAGGCCAGAGGTGGCAAGGGGACTCTGAGGAAGTGACATTCGGGTGTGGGCGGCATGGGTGGGAGAACGGATCTGGCGGCGGAACAGCCCAATGCGGAGGCGAAGAGGGGGACCCGAGGTGGCTGTGTTAGGGGGACAAGCCAGGAAGTGATAATGAAGGGGAGGCTGAGGCGGTGCCGGGTCGGGGCGAATGAGATCACAGGACTGAGCTCCGCGGCCTCCTCCGTGCCTCCCCGGCCACCTCCGCCCCTGCCTGCTTCTGAGTCATCAGCGCCGACCCTACAGAAAACAGGACCCGCCCAGCCCCGAGGATGGCAAAAGTCAACGGCGCGTCACGGGGGCGGACGCAGAGGACCAGGAAGTTCCCCGACGACGCGCCCGCCCAAGTTCGCCCGGGGCCCGGGAGGAAGCTCCGGGGGGCCGCGGAGCCCCAGGGGACCTGCAGGCGCACCCCGGCCGTGCGCCTCCCAGCCGCGCGCCATGCGCCCTGGGGGCGTGCGCAGCTTCGCGCTGGAGCTGGCGCGGGGCCCGGGCGGCGCGTACCGCAGCGGGGAGCGGCTGTGCGGCCGGGTGCTGCTGGACGTGGCGGCGCCGCTGCGGGTGCGAGCGCTCGAGGTGAAGGCGCGCGGCGGAGCGGTCACCCACTGGCTGGAGGGTCGCAGCGTGGGCGTCAACGCCGTGTCCAGCGACTACGCGGCCGCCGAGACCTACCTGCGGCGGCGGCAGCTGCTGCTCCGAGGTGAGACACTCCGCGCGGTCCCCGCCGCAGCGCGGACCCCTTCGGCTGGGACCCTCTCCGGGGCCGGAAGCCCTTCCACTTAGAAGCTCTGCGATCGGGTGATCCTTTTTCAAGGAGCGGGAACTCCCTTCCCGGGGTTCGGACCCTCCCACAGGCCAGGAGTTCAAGACTAGCCTGGGCGACATGGCAAAACCCCATGTCTCCAAAAAATACAAAAATGAGCCAGGCTAGTGGCGCGCGCCTGGAGTCCCAGCTACAGGCTGAAGTGGGAAGATCGCTCGAGCCTGGGAGGTAGAGGCTGCAGCGGGCTGAGCTCGCATCACTGCACTCCAGCCTGGACACTCGCCCAGCCCCGGTCAGGACCCCCAAGAACCGGAAACGTCTACCCAGGGTCTGGGCGTTCCCCTCTCTGGAGCCAGACGCCCTCGATTTAGAGGCTGTGCGGTGGGGAGGCCCCTTTCAAAGCAGGGGGACCCTCTTACTAGAGTCCAGGGAACCCCTGGGAAATAGAGTGGGTGATCTCCCAGGTGGACCCCAGGGTTGATCCCAGGCCTGGAGTCCCTGATTCTCGAAGAAGGCTCCCAACTCACTTGTTACCCTGGGCCCCACCTCAGTTTACCCCGCAGGGTCTGCATGGAGGTAGGGTTGGCGGTCCGGTGGTGTTTCGCGGTGAGGAGGTGGAAGTGCATTCCAGAGGCGGGGAGATGAAGTGGGGTCACATTCTCCTGCGAGCCTGGGTCTTGGGGAGATCCCTACTCTGCCCCAACCTCAGTCCTTTTTGCATTCCAAGTGCCCCTAGGCTACACAGCCAGTCACCAGCCAGCCAGGGGGCCGCAGAAGGAGGCAGTCCATACCCTTGCACCCTACTGTGTGGCTGCAGGAGGGCTTCAGCCTCTCTGGGCCAAGCTAGACCTCACTATACCCGGCTGTAAAATGGGCCAGGAGGGAGGAAGCTCAGATTCCTGACAGCGAATTTTTCCCAGTGCTGTAGGCAATGGAAGCTTTAGGGACACAAGAGTCACAGATGCGGGAGACCCTCCCCTCCTCCCCAGCAGTAGAAACAGAGGAACAAGTGCAGTGGGGCAGGGCAGGAAGGGGCCCAGGAGGCGCTTCCCTTCCCCAGCGACCGGGAGAACTATTGGGGCTGCTTTCACCCGAAGGCCGCCCCAGACACTCAACGGCGACTTCCTTAAAACATTGAGGGGTGAGCCACCGCGCCAGGCTCCCATCTCTTAAAATACATAAAAATTGGGCCGGGCGCGGTGGCTCACGCCTCTAATCCCAGCACTTTGGGAGGCCGAGGCGGGTGGATCACGAGGTCGAGAGATCGAGACCATCCTGGTCAACATGGTGAAACCCCGTCTCTACTAAAAATACAAAAATTAGCTGGGTATGGTGGCGCGTGCCTGTAATCCCAGCTACTAGGGAGGCTGAGGCAGGAGAATTGCCTGAACCCAGGAGGCAGAGGTTGCGGTGAGCCGAGATCGCGCCATTGCACTCCAGCCTGGGTAACAAGAGCGAAACTCCGTCTCAAAAAAAAAAAAAAAAAAAATTAAAAAAAATACATAAAAATTGGCTGGGCACACAGTGTTTCACGCCTGTAATCCCAGCACTTTGGGAGGCCGAGGCAGGAGGATCACCTGAGATCAGGAGTTCAAGACCAGCCTGGTCAACATGGTGAAACTCCATCTCTACTAAATATACAAAAATTAGCCAGGCTGATTTTTCAATTAGCCCAGCTACTCGGGGGGCTAAGGCGGAAGATCGCTGGAACCCGGGAGGCTGACGTTGCAGTGAGCCAAGATCACACCACCGCATTACAGCGGGGTGTCAGGGTGAGACCCCATCCCCCCCAAAAATAATTAATCAATTAAATTAAATTTTTGGCCGGGTACAGTGGCTCACGCCTGTAATCCCAGCACTTTGGGAGACTGAGGCGGGCAGATCACTTGAGCACAAGAGTTCGAGACCAGCCTGGACAACATGGCGAAACCCTGGGCGTGGTGGTGCACACCTGTAGTCCCAGCTACTCGGGAGGCTGAGATCAGAGGATCTCTTGAGCCCCGGAGGCAGACGTTGCAGTGAGTTGAGATGGTGCCAATGCACTCCAGCCTAGGTGACAGAGCGAGATCCTGTCTCAAAAAAAAAAAAAAAAAAAAAATTAATTTAAAGTTTTGTAAACGTTTAAGAAAAAAAAACAAAAACAAAAACAATGATCCTGGAGAGGCGAGGCCAGTGGCGCTGCTGTGTGACCTCGAGCAGGCGCCCGCCCCTCTCTGGGCCTCTGGGGTCCATCTGTGAAATGAATTGAGGAAGGCGGCACTGGCTTAGTAGTCCCTTCAGGGTTACCTCATCCGCTTCCCCTCCGGACTTAACAACCTGCTCTCTCCCGTCCAGGGTCCCCTGAGACCTGGCCCAAGGTCCCAGACCTTCCTTTCAGCTGCAAAGCCAGGCGGCATTCCAGGCTGATCACTGTGCCTCCAGCGCCGTCGTTCCTGTTCTGACCCTCATCACGGGCTGCGAGTGCCCGTGTTTGCTTATGACCGCCCCGCTCCTCACCCACACCCCTCACCGGGGTGCTGGAGGTCTGGTGACTCCCGAGCCACGTTCAGGAGGAGACAGGGCAGGGGACGGGTTCAGCGGCAGCGCATTCCGCTGCCACAAGAGGGCGCCAGCGTCCCGCAGTCGACGCAGAGAAAACTCCGCGCGGCTTTTCTTTTTCTTTTATTTATTTATTTTCTTTTATTTATTTATTTATTTTTTTTTTGAGACGGAGTTTCGCTCTCGGCTCACCGCAACCTCCGCCTCCTGGGTTCAGGCAATTCTCCTGCCTCAGCCTCCTGAGTAGCTGGGATTACAGGCACGTGTCACCATGCCCAGCTAATATTTTCTATTTTTCAGTAGAGACGGGGTTTCACCATGTTGACCAGGATGGTCTCGATCTCTTGACCTCGTGATCCACCCGCCTCGGCCTCCCAGAGTGCTGGGATTACAGGCTTGAGCCACCGCGCCCGGCCGCGGCTTTTCTTTTTAAATCAGCCCAGCCGCTCCGGGGGCTAAGGCAGAAGAATCGCTGGACACTGAAGCCCAGCGAGAGGTCACGCCGTCCCGAGGGCGCCCCGCAGCCGTTGACCTGGGGGCGCCCGAGCGTCCCTTGCACTCGGCCCTGTGGAGGGGCGCGGGCTGAGGATGTCTGGAGCAGGCACGAGGGCTTGGGGGAAGGTCGGGTTTGCCCGAGGCTGAAAACGGGAAAGAACGTCAGGGCGCAGGTGCCGCTCGGGCAGAGGCACCGAGGCGCGACCGAGTGACCGTGTGTCCGGAGCAGGGGGGTGACCCGGGAGCCACGCTCTTGGAGGGGGCCAGCTGGGGCTGCACGATGATCCATGCACAACCTTCTCAAGTCAGGACTGATTTTTATTTTCTCCCGGCTCTACAGAGGGGGAAACTGAGGTTCCAAGAGGTTGTCATTTGCCCAGGACCAGCAGCCGAGCGGGGCTTGAATCAGCGGAGGGTGCGGCAGGCACCGGTGCGGACGGAGGTCGGTCCCACCCACCTCCTCCTCTTCCCCCTTTGCATACCGGGGGAAACAGGCCTGGAACAGTCATAGGCTCTCGGGCCCTCAACTGGGGCGAGGGCCCCGCGCCCCAAATCCGGACCGGACATGCCTCGAGTCACGTCTACCAGAGGCGGCTGGTGAGCTATGAAGCCGAGAGGCTGAAGGCTCTGCTGGCTGACCTCAGGCCCGGGCCCTGCCTCTGGACCTCAGTGACCCCTCTTTGCTCCCGGAGTCCGCGAGAGACCAGCTCTGGCCGCCTCAGGGCCTCAGTTTCCCCCCGGGTTCCGCGAGGGTAGGGGGCAGCCGGCGGTGAGCAGGGGCGTTTGTTATTTTGCGCCACGCCTGGGCGGAGCCACGCCCCTTGTCGCGCTATTGGTGGAGTTCTTTTGGGGGTGTGGTGAGAGACGGCGGCCCCCCCCGCGCCCTGCCATATAAAAGCGGCGCCGCAGCCAGGCCCCGGGCATTTCTAGCTGGTTGACCAGCGCGGCTGGGTGTCCAGGGCGAGTTTGCGTTCTGAGGCTGCAGCGTCGGCTCCTTGAGCTGCCGGGTTGCGGGTTCGAGGCCAGGTTCCTCGTGTCTTGGGTTCGCGGCCCGGACGCGATGCTGTTCGACAAGGTGAAAGCGTTCTCGGTGCAGTTGGACGGCGCAACCGCGGGCGCCGAGCCCGTGTTCAGCGGCGGCCAGACCGTGGCCGGCCGGGTGCTGCTGGAGCTGGCGAGCGCCGTGCGTGTGGGTGCCCTGAGGGTGCGCGCGCGGGGCCGCGCCCACGTGCACTGGAGCGAGTCGCGCAGCGCGGGCTCCAGCACGATTTACACGCAGAACTACAGCGAGCGCGTGGAGGTCCTGAGCCACCGCGCCACGCTTCTGGCGCCAGGTACGGATCGGATCGGGGACCCCGCTCGGTGCACCGGTTGTGTGCTTCCCATCACCCGGACGGTGGTACCCCGGTCAGCCCCGGGACCCCAATGCGACCTCTCAGTCTCCTCCTTTTGCTCCTATCTGCAGACACGGGGGAGACCACGACGCTGCCTCCTGGGCGCCATGAGTTCCTGTTCAGCTTCCAGCTGCCCCCGTAAGTCCTCTGGGGTACAGGGTTGCGGGGGACTCCCTAAGCCTGCCGCCCCTTCCAGATTCATTCCTCTCATACTGGATACCTGGGCACCTCTGAGCCCCAAGACTCTTCCCTGGGAGACCCCCAGAGTGTCTGTGTAGTGTCGCCTTCTTCCTGCCTGCGTGCCTCTGTATCTCGCCCTCTGAAGTTCCCTTCCCTCCACCCCAGGACCCTGGTGACATCCTTCGAGGGCAAACACGGCAGTGTCCGTTACAGTATCAAGGCCACCCTGCACCGGCCCTGGATCCCAGCACGCAGGGCAAGGAAGTGTTCACTGTCATCGAGCCGGTAGACATCAACACGCCCGCCCTGCTGGTGAGTGGCCACCCTGGGAGGTAGGATGGGAGTATTGTAGGACGGGGCCTGGCTGCTGGGTGACACCGACTGAGAAGTTGGGGGGTCATAAGTGGGCCCTGGCCGGGAGGCAGGCAGGTGTGGGAATGCGTGTGGAATCCACTGGGATCTACCCCCATTTGCTGTGTGACTCCGGGCAAGTGTCTTGCCCTTTCTGAGCCTCAGATGCCTCTTCTGTGAAAGAGACCAGAGCTAGAGCTTACCAAACACGAATGACACACCAAACACTTGGCTTGTACATTTCACTTCTGGCTTTATAAGATGGGTTGTGTCCCTGGCTCTGTTCTATAGATAATTTCTGGATTGTTAAAAAGAAACCAAGCCCTGCCCAGAGTCCTCTCTCAGCTGGGAGTGGTTTGGAAGTTTGGAAGTTGCCCGGTGTCTCTGGTTTGCACAAAATGACTCATCCATGTCCCTTTCCTCTACACGGACAGGCACCTCAAGCGGGGGCTCAGGAAAAGGTCGCCCGATCCTGGTACCGTAACCGTGGCCTCGTCTCCCTTTCAGCCAAGATCGACCGCAAGGGCTACACGCCAGGTAGCAGGCAGACCGGACTGGGTCGGGACAGGGGCTGGCGTCGGGGCTGCAGGAGGGGAAACTGAGGCCCCGCTGCTCTTCGCTGCAGGAGAGGTCATCCCCGTCTTCGCCGAGATCGACAACGGCTCCACGCGTCCTGTGCTGCCTCGGGCGGCCTTGGTGCAGACGCAGACGTTCATGGCCCGAGGCGCCCGAAAGCAGAAACAGGCGGTGGTGGTCAGCCTCGCGGGCGAGCCGGTGGGCCCGGGGCAGCGGGCGCTGTGGCAGGGCCGGGCGCTGCAGATACCCCCGGTGGGTCCTTCCATCCTGCACTGCCGCGTTCTCCACGTGGACTACGCGCTCAAGGTAGGGCATCCTGCATCCACCCTGTACCCCTCAGATTGAGGGTATGTGAGGCCTCTGTCTCCCCAGGCATCGGAGGGAGGTGGGGGTCGGCGAGGCTGCCCGGGCGCCCTCCCTTAACGATGGTTCCTTCCTCCAGGTCTGCGTGGACATCCCCGGCACATCCAAGCTGCTGCTGGAGCTGCCGCTGGTGATCGGCACCATCCCCTTGCACCCCTTCAGCAGCCGCTCCTCCAGCGTGGGCAGCCACGCCAGCTTCTTGCTGGACTGGGGGCTGGGGGCCTTGCCGGAGTGGCCCGAGGGTAAGCTCCCGCCCTGCTGGCATGCAGGGGGTGGGTGGGTACACGGAGAGGCGGATGCCAGGTCAACTCTGTCACCATCAATTCCCCCTGGAATCCCAGCCCCAGAGCTGGCACAAGCTGGCTCCTGGTCCCTGGTCCCTTGGAGCAGGGCTGTCCCAGGCCAGCCTCACCCACCCTGTCTCTCGATTCCAGCTCCTCCCGAATACTCGGAGGTGGTAGCCGAGACGGAGGCGGCAGCCTTTGGGCAGAGCCCCTTCCCACTCCCGCAGGACGCCGACATGAGCCTGGAAGGTCCGTTCTTCGCCTACGTCCAAGAGTTCCGCTACCGCCCGCCACCCCTGTACTCCGAGGTGAGCTCAAGGATCCGAGAAGCAGCCATGCCTCCCTGGGCCCTGGCAGCCTCCATGGGGTGGGAGACATACAGCAGATAGGTTTTTTTTTGTTTGTTTTTCAAGTCAGGGTCTGGCTCTGTCACCAGGCTGGAGTGCAGTGGCACAGTCATAGCTCTCTGCAGCCTCAACCTCCTGGGCTCAGTTGATCCTCTCGCCTCAGCCTCTTGAATAGCTGGGGCTACAGGCGCGCAAGCCACCACGTCCTGCTAATTTTTGTTTGCTTTTTTTAAGGTGGAGTTTGGCTCTTGTTACCCAGGCTGGAGCGCAGTGGCGTGATCTTGGCTCACTGCAAACTCCACCTGCCGGGTTCAAGTGATTCTCCTGCCTCAGCCTCCTGAGTAGCTGGGATTACAGGCACACGCCACCACACCTGGCTAGTTTTTGTATTTTTAGTAGAGACGAGGTTTCACCATGTTGATCAGGCTGGTCTCAAAACTCCTGACCTCGTGATCTGCCCACTTCGGCCTCCCAACGTGCTGGGATTACAGGTGGGAGGCACCGAGCTGGGGTTTTGTTTTTTTTTTCTTCGAGGCAGTCTTGCTCTGCCGCCCAGGTGGAGTGCACTGGCCCAATCTGTGCTCACCGCAACCTCTGCCTCCCAGGTTCAAGCAATTATCCTGCCTCAGACTCCCGAGTAGCTGGGATTACAGGTGTTTACCACCATGCTCAGCTAATTTTTATATTTTTTAGTAGAGACGGGGTTTCGCCATGTTGGCCAGGCTGGTCTTGAACTCCTGACCCCAGGTGATCCACCCGCCTTGGCGTCCCAAAGTGCTGGGATCATAGGCATGAGCCACCTCGCCCAGTCTCCATCTCTTAAAATACATAAGAATTGGCCAGGCACTGTGGTTCCCACCTGTAATCCCAGCACTTTGGGAGGCTGAGGCAGGTGGATCACCTGAGGTCAGGAGTTCGAGACCAGCCTGGCCAACATGGAGAAACCCCATCTCTACTAAAAATACAAAAATTAGCCAGGCGTGGTGGTGCACGCCTGTGATCCCAGCTACTCAGGAGGCTGAGGCAGGAGAATCACACGAACCCGGGATGTGGAGGTTGCAGTGAGCCAAGATCACGCTACGCTGCCCTCCGGCCTGGGCGACACTGTGAGACTCTTGTCTCAAAAAAGAAGACAAAATGAAATAAAAATAAAGCCCACAGGAGGATGGGCTTAAGATTATCTGCAGATATTATGCCATTTTCTATCAGGGACCTGAGCCTCTATGGATTTTGGTGTCCACGGGATTCCTAGAACCAGCCCCCTTGTGGATACCAGGAGGCACTACACAGTCAGCTCCCGAGCCCTCCTCGCGCCAAGTCCGGGGTGGGGTCTGCCCTAGGCACTGCCCCCGGACGGGCTCTTCCCTGGCCAAGGGTGGGAGTCAGGAGATGGCTGGATGGGGGTGGGTTTCTGAATTTCTGTTTCCAGTATCCCCCAAGGCTTAACGGGAACATTTCTCTCAGGAGGATCCAAACCCACCCTCGGAGGCCATGAGGCTGCGCTATGCGACTTGCTGAACGGCACAGGGACACCTCAAGAACGGGGTTGCACACCTGCTTTCAGCCACCGTGACTGCAGGGAGCGGCTGGACCAAGGACTGACCTCCCCAGCTACATCAAAGTTGGGGAAACCAAGTCTCGGAGTGAGGCGGGGCCTTTCCGACGTCACAGGGACCAGAGGAAGAGCCAGGCTGGAATCTGACTTACCTGGACCGCTGCCCTTGTGAGGCATTGACTTCCCAGCGCGGCATCCGAGACACTGTTTAATAACCTGTCTTCCCAGCCCGTGGGCAACGCTGGAGTCCTCCGGGAACCTTCAGTCTGGGAGAAGCAGAGCCATAGACAGTTCCAGCATCGTGGAACCGGAAGAAGAGACCCGCAGCTTCGAGAGTCCAGACAGGAAGCAGAGAAGTCTTCCTTCCGGAAGGGGGATTTTTAGCTGAGGCTTTGGAGCTATGAATAGGAGCTCAGCAGGCAGAAGAATGAGGAAGAAAAGTCAGAGAAGGTCAGAGCTGAGTGACATTTGGAATCTACTCCATTTATTGTAAAATTGGAGGTTCAGGCCTGGGCGCGGTGGCTGAAGCCTATAATCCCAGCACTTTGGGAGGCTAAGGCAGGTGGATCACAAGGTCAAGGGATCGAGACCATCCTGGTCAACATGGTGAAACTTCGTCTCGACTAAAAAATATACAAAAAATTAGCTGGGCATGGTGGCGCGTGCCTGTAATCCCAGCTACTCGGGAGGCTGAGGCAGGAGAATTGCCTGAACCCAGGAGGCGGAGGCTGCGGTGAGCCGAGATCGTGCCATTGCACTCCAGCCTGGGTAACCAGAGCGAAAGCGAAACTCCGTCTCAAAAAAAAAAAAAAAAAATTGGGGGTTCAGAGGGCAAGTGCCTCCGAGTTGAGGCCACACAGTGAGGTCCAGTGGGTGAAAGGACCCAGGAATGAGGCGTTCAGGAAAGAAAGCAGGTTGTCCGAACTCTGTGGAATCTGTGGGTGGCAGGGGCAGCCGCTCCAGCCTTTGAAGACTTTGAAAGCCAGAGATCCCTGGCGCAGGCTTGGATTTCCTGGGAGTTCTTCCAAGTACCCAGGGGCATCAGAGCTGCCTGAGTGTTACATGGCCCCGGGGAACCCGGGTTCAGGGTAGGACCGGCAAGACCAGACACCTAACATGCAAAATGAAAACGCTGGGCTCGCGGCTGAACAGTGAAGGATTCGAGACGGGCAGCATCACGCCATGCCTGGGGACAGGGGTCAGCCTACGGGGACACACAGGGACTGCTGTGCTTCCGGAAGCTCCGTGTCCTGGCGAAAAGCACTAAAAGGGGCAGCTGGACAAGCCCCCAGCTGCAGAGTCGGCGCTCTGGTTGGGGCAGGGCCCGGCCTGGGACTCAGCATTTCTGATACGCCTTAAGAAATCATTGTTTTGTACAATTATTTTTTAAAAGTAAACGTGTGGGGGAAAAAACCCACTTCTTTCTTGGGCTTCTTGATTTATTTTCCCCCCCTCGACCAGCCGCTGAGGAAACCATCACTGTCATCCCGGGTCACTTTCTTGGAGACTGAATTCCTGGCCAAAGAGGGCAGAAGGGCCCATGATTCAGAAGGGGAAACTGAGGCCCAGGCCTGGGAGGCGGTTGGCCCAAGGACACACAGGGAGGCTGAGGTGGGGCAGGGGCTGAGCCCTGGGCCCCTCACCAGCACCCCCGGGACAGTCTCAGAAGCTGGTGGGGGTGATGAACAGTGCACAGGCAGAGAACTCTGGCCTTGGAGAGTGGGGAGGAGGGGCTGGCCTGCAGGGACATCTTGTCACCCGAGTCTAGGTTTGGGGTGTGTGTGTGTGTGTGTGTTTTGAGGCTGGAGGGCAGTGGCGTGATCTCAGCTCACTGCAACCTCCGCCTCCCAGGTTCAAGCGATTCTCCTGCCTCAGCCTCCCAAGTAGCTGGGATTACAGGTGCCTACCACCACGCCTGGCTAATTTTTGAATTTTTTTTTTTTTTTTTTTTTTTTTTTTGAGACGGAGTTTCGCTCTTGTTACCCAGGCTGGAGTGCAATGGCGCGATCTCGGCTCACCGCAACCTCCGCCTCCTGGCTCAGGCAATTCTCCTGCCTCAGCCTCCTGAGTAGCTGGGATTACAGGCACGCGCCACCATGACCAGCTAATTTTTTGTATTTTTAGTAGAGACGGGGTTTCACCATGTTGACCAGGATGGTCTCGATCTCTCAACCTCGTGATCTACCCGCCTCGGCCTCCCAAAGTGCTGGGATTACAGGCTTGAGCCACCACACCCGGCCCAATTTTTGAATTTTTAATAGAGACGGGGTTTCTTTCCTTTTTTTCTTGAGATGGAGTGCAATGGCTTGGTCTCGGCCACCTTCCGAATTCAACTCATTCTCCTATTTCAGCCTCACAAGTAGCTGGGATTACAGGTACCTGCCACCACGCCCGGCTACTTTTTGTATGTTTTTAGTAGAGATGGGGTTTCACCATATTGGCCAGGCTGGTCTTGAACTTCTGACCTCAGGTGATCTGGCAACCTCAGTCTCCCAAAGTGCTGGGATTGCGGGTGTGAGCCACTGTGCCCAGCCCTGGATTTGTTTTTATTGAGGTGAAATTCACATTAAATTCACCATTTGAAAGTGTTCAGTACACTTCACAATGTAGCAGGTAGTACGTTCATAATGTTTTGTTTTGTTTTGTTTTGAGATGGTCTCACTCCGTTGCCCAGGCTGGAGTTCAATGGCCGGATCACAGCAGCCTCAGCCACCTGGGCTCAAGGGTTCCAAGTAACTGGGACCACAGGTGTGCACCGCCACACCCAGCTAATTATTTTTATTTATGTATTAATCTAATATTTATTTTCCTGAGACCGAGTTTTGCTCTGTCGCCAGGCTGGAGTGCGGTGGCATGATCTCGGCTCACTGCAACCTCCGCCTCCCGGGTTCAAACGGTTCTCCTGCCTCAGCCTCCCCAGTACAGGCACGCGCCACCACACCTGGCTCATTTTTGTATTTCTAGTAGAGACAGGGTTTCACCATGTTGGTCAGGCTGGTCTGGAACACCTCAGCCTCCCAAAGTGCTGGGATTACAGGCATGAGCCACCGTACCCGGCCTTGTTTGTTTTGTATTGGCAAGATTTCCGTTCGTTTCCCAGATTGGTCTCGAACTCCTGGGCTCAAGCAGTCCTCCCGCCTCAGCCTCTCACAGTGCTGGGATGGCAGGCGTGAGCCACTGTGCCCAGCTATTTACACTGTTACGCAACCATCACTACCATCTATTTCCAGAACATTTCTTTTTTTTTTTTGAGACAGAGTTTTGCTCTTGTTACCCAGGCTGGAGTGCAATGGCGCGATCTCGGCTCACCGCAACCTCCGCTTCCTGGGTTCAGGCAATTCTCCTGCCTCAGCCTCCTGAGTAGCTGGGATTACAGGCAGGGGTCACCACGCCCAGCTAATGTTTTGTATTTTTAGTAGAGACGGGGTTTCACCGTATTGACCAGGATAGTCTCGATCTCTTGACCCCGTGATCCACCCGCCTCGGCCTCCCAAAGTGCTGGGATTACAGGCTTGAGCCACCGCGCCCGGCCTATTTCCAGAACATTTCTATCCCTGCCAAAGGAAACCCCGTCCCTTCAGGCATTCACGATCAATCCCCATCCCCCTCCCACCCCCGGGCAACCACTTATCCACAAATCCACTATGGATTTGCCTATTTTGAACATTTCGTATCGATGGACTCATACAGCCTTTTGTGTCTGGCTTTTATCACTCAGCATGTTTTCGGGGTTCATCCACATTGTATCGTGTCTCAGAACTTCATTCCTTTTTCTGGTTGAATAATATTCCATTGTGTGCACGGACCTCGTTGTGTTTAGCCACTCAGCCGAGGATGGACATCTGGATTGTTTCCACGGCTTGGCTACGGTGAATCTTGCTGCTAAGGACACACGTGTTCAAAGAAGGAAGGAAGGAAGGAAAGAGAGAGAGGGAGGGAGGAAGGCAGGCAGGCAGGCAGGCAGGCAGGCAGGCAGGCAACCCCATCTCTTCTAAAAGTTAGATCTGCAGGCAGGTCACGTTGTGTCCGAGCCTTGTCATCTGAGACCCTGGGAGACCCCCCACCCCCCACCCCCTGCCCCAGTCCTCGATCTCCCCCTTCCTCTGGCTGGACGGTGAGCCCTCCTTTCCTGCTACCCTGGTCCTCCCTTGACCTGGCATCAAGCTTGGAGCATGGCATTCTCGGGAGCTCCCTGACGCCAGGCGGAGGGGAAGCTTCCACAGCGCAGTCACCAGCGTCCAAGCTGACAGTCTCAGCAGGAAGTGCGTTCTTTGTCACCCGGGGTGTGCAAGGTGTAAGGTATCAGTTTCCAGACCCATGTGCCCAAACAGAGAGTCGAAGGTGTTTATTCCGGGAGGGATGTGGGTACCGCGCGGCAGAAAGACTCCCCCCAGCGGCCGCGGGAGGACAAGACGCCCTGTGTCCTCGGGACCCTGAGTCTGCAACTATGGGGAACTTGATACCGACAGGAGAACTTTCCGGTTCAGACGACCAACAAACAACCAGGATAAAGCCGGCCCAGGCAGTGCCAATTCAGGAAACTTCCCGAACACAGGGAGGGGCCGGGGAACCCAAAGGCAGGTGACCAATTTCTTTTTCTTTCTTTTTTTTTTTTTTTTTTTTTTGAGACGGAGTTTCACTTTTGTTACCCAGGCTGGAGTGGCAGTGGTGCAATCTCGGCTCACCGCCACCTCCGCCTCCAGGTTCAAGCGATGCTCCTGCCTCAGCCTCCCGGGTAGCTGGGATCACAGGCACGTGCCGGCAGGTGATGAATTTCTATCAAATGTGAAATCAGGGCCGGGTGCAGTGGCTCACGCCTGTAATCCCAGCAATCTGGGAGGCCGAAGCGGGTGGATCACCTGAAGTGAGGAGTTCAAGACCAGCCTGACCAACATGGTGAAACCCCGTCTCTACTAAAAATACAAAATTAGCCAGGCGTGGTGGCGCGTGCCTGTAGTCCCAGCTACTTGGAAGGCTGAGGCAGAAGAATCGCTTGAACCCTGAAGGGAGGTTGCGGTGAGCCAAGATGGCGCCACTGCACACTCATCTCAAAAATAAAAATAAAAACAAATAAGGCCAGGCGCAGTGGCTCATGCCTATAATCCCAGCACTTTGGGGGGCTGAGATGGGAGGATCAGGTGAGGCCAGGGGGTTGAGACCAGTCTGGGCAACATAACAAGACCTCGTCTCTACAAAAAAAAAATGTAAGCATTGGGCCGGGCGCGGTGGCTCAAGCCTGTAATCCCAGCACTTTGGGAGGCCGAGGCAGGTGGATCACGAGGTCAAGAGATCGAGACCATCCTGGTCAACATGGTGAAACCCCGTCTCTACTAAAAATACAAAAAATTAGCTGGGCATGGTGGTGCGTGCCTGTAATCCCAGCTACTCAGGAGGCTGAGGCAGGAGAATTGCCTGAACCCAGGAGGCGGAGGTTGCGGTGAGCCGAGATCGCGCCATTGCACTCCAGCCTGGGTAACAAGAGCGAAACTCCGTCTCAAAAAAAAAAAAAAAAATAAGCATTAGTCTGACCTGGTAGCATGTGC